CCAGCAGCATCAGCATCCCAGGAAGGGCAGAAACCTTCAGCAGTTTCCCAGGTAATCATAAAGCATGCTAGACTTTGAGAACCACTGATACTGAGCATCAAGGGCATGAGTGAGGGTGTTCCCCAAGAGGGAATGGTAAGAAAGAAGGCTGACAATAAAAACCAGGGATAGATCTCAAAGGCCCTTGTAAGATGAGTTTGACTTGATCCTAAGTGGCAGTGGATAGCTACTGGAGAGGTTTAAACAGTGGAGTGACATCAGATCTGCATTTGAAAAAGACCACTTTGGTCATGCAATGGATATATTAGGGTGAGGCCTAGCAAGTGATATAGTTAGGACAAAAAATGTGACAGTGGGCATGTGGAAAGTGGCAGACCAAGAAAGTATTACCAAGATGGAATTGACAGACCTTAGTGACTGAACATGAGCAGGGAGGGGGTCTTGGGAGAAACAGAAGCAGGCAGCAGTATGGGGAGAAGATTCTGGATTTGGTTTTAAATGTGTTGGGCTTGCAATATGTGCCAGGGGAGATGGTGGTCAGGTAGTGGGATGTATAGCTGGGCCCAGGAGAGATGTTGAGGCTCCAGGGAAAATGAAGGCAGTAAAGAGAAAGGTAAAATGAGGGACTTTAAGAGTAGTTTGGGGAGTTAAGAGTTTGGGGAGCAGTGCTGTGCTGGGAGGGATATGCTGCCCAGGGCTGACTGTTTAAGAGAGGTGATTGAGTTTCTCCTCAGAAGGACAGACCCAGTAGCAAGGAGAGAGCAGATGCTCCACCCTCCTTGCCTGACTCTGTGGCCAGTGCTTTCATGGGATTTTCAAAGATGGTTGGATTTTATTTTCCTCTCTTTACAATAGCTTGTGCGATAAGTTTGGGTGCTAGAGAAGGGAATGAAAGACAAAGAACTGATAGGAATAGTCAGATAATTAGAATGGCGAATCCAGAGAAGAGGAAACTAGTTAGTGACCCAAGAAATACTGAGACTTTTGGCATCTGGACCAGCAAGAATATTACCTCTACTGTACCCGAATTGAGAGAAAGAACTCCAGGTGCAATGTGAGAGCTCATGTAGGTATAAAAGCTGAGCTGACAGTGTGGCATGCTAAATAGGCGAAGGCAAGTACACAAAGTCCTCTGGGGGTCTGTTTGGGGAAGAGGGGTGAATGGGGAGAGGGGCTGGCTTTTGTGCTATACTCTCTTTACAGTGTAGCTTAATTCTTTACAACAAATTTCTTTATTCTTCTCACATTTTTTGAATGAGGAAACTGAAGCCACATAGCCTAGGGAGTCCATTTCTGCAAAAGACAGAGAAGGGTTTTAAAGACCTAGATTTGGTGATGGAACAGAGTGTCAGCTGGAGTTAAGAGGCAAGAGGAAGAAAGCAGCCATATACCGGGCATCAGGAGACTTAGGTCCTATTTCTATTTGGCCTCATGTGCTTTTATGAACCCAACAAGTCCTTACATTTTATGCGAATCCATGCCGTTTTTCATGAAATGGAAACAGTGTGAGGTACCCTGCTTGTGTTTGGTTGGGGTAAGAACTAATGAGAAAAAGAATGATGTGACCATGGGTTAGAAACAACTCGCTGAGTCCAGCTCTCCATGAGAAACCAGGTTTTAGAATCAGGTGACTCAGCTTTCCAATCCATTAATTATGTTCTTCCAAGCCTGGAACACAATGGATTGCAGCAGATGGTCATATAAAATATGTATAGAATAGGGTACAGAACACTGTTAACATTTAAAACTGTTTTTACTAATGGGAACCAAACCAGTTTCAAATGCTAACCAATTCAAACATCCGAAGCTCCGAATTTATAGAACAAACAAATTTAAAACTTTGGCCTTCAATCCCATTTGACTGTAACACAGATAGATATTAATTCAGGCTCTACTTCTGGCACATAGGTTTTACCCAAAGCCTCCAAGAATAGTATAGGGTGGGACTTTGGCATCATCTAATTTTATTCTATGCGGCTTCCTCCTCCTTATCGACTCCTGGCCCACCACTCCAAGGGCTGTCAACCTCCTTCCAGCCCCCCAGAGCCCATCCACAGCTGCATTCGTTTGCTAGGGCTACCCTAACAAAGTACTACAGACTGGATGGCTTAAACAGCAGAAATGTATTGCCTCACAGTTCTGGAGGCTAGAAGTCTAAGATGAAAGCGTCAGCAGGTTCGGTTTCTCCTGAGGCCTTTCTCCTTGGCTTGCAGATTGCTGCCTTCTCGCTAGGTCCTCACATGGCCTCCCTCTGAGCGAGTCATCCCTGATATCTCTGTGTGTCCAAATTCCCTCTTCTATGACACTAGTTGGATTGGATTAGGACCCACCCTAACAGCTTCATTTTAACTTAATTACCTCTTGAAAGGCCCTGTATCTGGCGTTAGGGCTTCAACATATGAACTTGGGTGGGGGACACAGCTAAGCCCATAAAATCAGCCCTCCACACAGTTCCTCTGCCAGCTGCCTTTCCCTTTCCACAGGAGGTCAGATCCTGGCTCTGGTAGAAACCTTTCTTCTTCCTTTGAGGGCCTCTCCCTCTAGTTGTACCCTCTCACTTTCTAACAGCCAGGGATGAAGAGGGGCTGGGGATTCATGGCTCAGCCAGTCATGGGTGTTCCATATCCCATCCAGTATCTGCTCCCAGGGGATGATTTGGCTTTCCCATACTCTTCCCATCGGGCATCGTTGGGCTCTACTTTTCCTAGCTTTCTGCTTTCAAGGTTGTGCTCTGCTCTCCTCCCTTGGAAGAAACCTTCGTTTGATATTCGTCTTCTGTCACTCCATTTCTCTTTGTCCCTTTCACTTCCAGCATTCTTGACCCATTAGTTGACTCTTGCCTGTTTCCTTAAGAATCTCCTCTGGAGTGACTTTTGACCCCATGGTCCCACTATACCGTATAGGCCCTCTCTAACAGCACCCGTCACTCAGTGCTAGTTATGCCTAAAGCCCACTTTCTGGTGCTCATTCTCTCCCACCCGTGGTCGCAGTGACAGTCCTCCTTCTGCCTCTCAGAGTCCTTCCGCAGCCCCTCTCCTTCCTCCCAGCTCCTCATTGTGGTCTCACCTGGGATCAGACCCTGGCCCCTTTTCCTCTTTCAAAAAGAAGCCTTTCCTGTGGATCACATGTCTTGACATTTAAGCCTTTGAGGACAAGCCCTGATTTCTCACATTTGTTTGGTTTTCTCCTCGGTACCCAGGCTAGTAGTATGTACTGATTGGCATTTGCCCAGCACATTATAGGCCCTCAGTAAATTTTTGAGAGTTGGACAAGTGGATCAATAATAGTGACGAGCCAGGGTGAAGTTGGTGGAAGCAGGCCTCACCCTGGGCTCAACCACGTAACTGGCAGTCATCAGCTCTCTGCTCTCAGAGTGCTTCCGTCAGAGATCGCCTCCTTACACAGCCCTCTTGGGGCACTCAGATGGGTAGCAGCACTCTTCTCATTTTACAGATGCACAACTGACAATCCACAAAGTTAGCTAACTTGCCTATGGTCACAGAGATGCTCCAAGTCCAAGCCACGACATAGCACTGCCTTTCTGTAATCTACTGCAGTGAAGTTTTATGAATGGATGATTAATTGTTAACATAACTCCACTCATTCATTCAATAAATAGTTATCGAGTGCCTACCATCTGTCAGGCACATAGGATACACATAACAAAAAAGTCCCTGCTTTTAAAAAGTTTATACTTTAGGGGGAGGCAAAGGGCAGACAGTAAGTAAATAGTTTGTTATATGGCAATAGGTGCCATGGAGGGGAAGATAATAAAGTGGTAAGCAGGGTAAGGAATGCTAGGGTGGAGGGTTGGTATTTCATATAGAGTAGTTAGGGAAGATCTTCTTGTTAAGTAACTTTTCTTCATTTTTTTTATTAAGGTATAATTTACATACAATAAAATTCGCTCATTCTAGTGCACAGTTCTATGAACCTTGACAAATACATATAGTCATGTAACCAGTGCCACAATCAAAATATGTTCCATCACTTCAGAACATGTCCCTGTGCCCCTCCTTCCCCGAACTCACCTCTGGCAAACACTAACCTATTCTCTGTCCCTATAGTTTTACCTTTTCCAAAATGTCATAGAGAATTATACAGCACGTAGCCTTTGAGTTTGGCTTCTCTTAGCAGAGAGATGAATCACTAATGGGATTCATTTGTGTTGTGGGTCTCAATAGTCTGTTCCTTTTACTGAATAGTATTTCATTGTATGAAGGTACCACAGTTCATCCATTCTCCAGTTGAGGATATCTGAATAACTTCTAGTTTTTGGCAGTTACAAATAAAGCCACTAGGAACATTAAGATTTTCATTTCACTTGGATAAGTAGGTTAGATGGCTTTTGAGCAAAGACCTGAAAGAAATATGAAAACAAGCTATAAAGATAGCTGAAGATATTTTTGCATATTCACCACGTTATTATTTCACCAAATGAATACGTTTGTGCTGCAGAACTGGTCTGTTTGGGTCATTTTTCTTTTCTGAGTTGTGTGGAGAAAGTGGGAATAGGAATGGAGGAAACCATTGGCTGGTTCGCTTCAATTCTTCATTCATTCAGTGATCCATTCAATAAATAGTAAACAAATGAAAGCCACCAGTCCACAGTCTGTGACCCAAAGGAAGCCTGAGACCCTTGGATCCACACCAAAGGCTAATTTTACTTGGTTTATCTGACTTAATTTCCTTTCTGAGTTTCCTGAAAGTTAGGGTGAGAGAATAGTTAGTGAATTTGGGCTTATCATTGAAATGGACAGTGTAGGCTTAGCACTTTTGAGAGTTTTTATCTCAATGGAGACTTCGGGAACCCCTCCAGAGGCTCTCCTGAGAACTGATATTCAGTCGATCGTGAGGTTGGCTGTGTGAGACTGCAAGATCTCCAGAAAGAGCTCTGTCTGGAGGAGGGGCCCGTGGGTAAGACTACATCCTCCTAGGATTCAGGAGCTTGATGGAAAAAAAACAGAACAGAAAATAACCTATGAACTTCTTTGTTTCAGGTGATGCAACTGTGAAAAAGAAACCTGCACCCAAGACACCTCCGAAGGCAGGTAATTGGTCACAGCAACATTTGGGGGCAAGGGAGTCATCTGCCATGACGGGTTTTTCCTTTGCTCTGCTAGGCTGACCACTGAGTATGTGGTCCCCTTCCTAATTCAAGCTCTGTATCTTTCGGGCTGAATTTTCCCTGAGAGTCTCTGTACAAGTTGGTCCCCCAGCCCCTTCCACTACTTGTCTTTTTTCCTACTTCGCCTGTATGGACAGCATCACACAGTACTAGCAAATCTCCCACCCCTTCTGTGACATTCTGTCTGACCCGCTGCCCTCCACTCAGCCACTTAAGGAGATGATTCACTTTGTGCTGTTTTAATGCTCCTGTATGTCCTTGTCATGTGGAACTTTGTCTGTTTTCCACTGAAAGACATTTGAGGACACGAACTGTATTGAGCCTGTCAGCCAGGGTCACCTCCAGGTTAGATAGCAAGGGACAGCAAGGTGCTGATTTATTAATAAAGGAGTTAGGATGTAGACTTGAAAAATTAGGGCAAGATGCAAATTTCAGAGAAGCCAACAAATGGAAAACTGTGCCATGTAAATGGCATGGGTCACTTCTGAGGAAATTAGAATAAAGAGATGAACAAACCTAGCAAGTCTATCAGCTCAGATGTTGTGAAGCAGTAATCAGTGCCCTCACTCTTACCCTGAAGGTTCCAGAAGGTGAGGCAGGAGCAAGAGACCAATGTGGACAGCAGCGTCAAATGACATCAGAATGTTTGAGGCTCCTTCCTCCTCACTTACTTTCTCACCTGTCCTCATCCAGCCATGCCCCCTCAGATCATCCAGTTTCCTGAGGACCAAAAGGTGCGCGCAGGAGAGTCTGTGGAGCTGTTCAGTAAAGTGGCAGGCACCCAGCCCATCACCTGCACCTGGATGAAGTTCCGAAAGCAGGTCAGTAACGGAGGGGAGTGGCCTGAGAACGACGCACACAGCCCCTGGGCCAAAGAATGAGAAATGCTGTAATGGAGACAGCATCGCTCTTTATTGCAGGAGCCTTAGAAATGGGAGAGACCTCACCCACTCGTCACCACCCCCCAGCCAATCCAAGTTCTTAATAACCTTTTCCTCTGAATCTGCTAATAATGCCTACTTTGTAGACAATTTGTATAATGGAAAAAATATGAAGGAAAAAAATAGAAACCACCCACGACGCCCACCAAATTTTGATATCTCAGTCTAGAACTCTACTCAGCGTCAGGAAAATAGAACCAGTAACCTAATTGACCTCTCAGAGTCTGAGTTTTCTGTGATTTTGTGCCTGCCCACTGAACCTGAACTTACTACATGCTGAGGGGATAAAAGTAGATCTGAGTATTTGGATCAATAAATCGTTTGTTAGGTAGAATTTTGGCTTACTGGTCCAGAAGTCAAGCTACCACTTATAATAATAGTCCTATGGGAGAGTGTTCAAATTTCTGAACAACCAGCTTTTAAAGAAACTTGGGGATCCCATATTGGCAGTGTGTACCCATGTGCATGAGCAGCAGAGGCCAAAGAACAGTGAGCTGGTGCTGGATCGGAAACTGTATAGAAGGTGTGATTTCTTCCAAACCCTCTGTTGCTCTGTTTCCAAACCATTCCAGTTGTCCTAAGGCCCAGAGGTGGGAGGCCAGTACCAGGAAGGAAAGGAGGGTTGGTCTCAAATGATGAAGAAGAGAAATTGGCCTTAATCATCCCAAAGCGTGTTTGCCCTGGGCTATGTTTAGGTCGGTGTTGTCTGCAATAAGGTGGAACCTCATCCCTTTTCAGGGACGTTTATGCCCCGTCTGTCCGACAGAACTTTCTCTAGTGATGGGAACATTCTCTATCTGTTACCCAATATGTAGCTTCTAGCCATATGTGGCTATTGAGCACTTAAAGTGTGACTAGTGTAACTGAGGAACTGAATTTTAAATTTTAAGCAATTAAAAATTGTTATAATAGCTTTGTTGATATAATTCACGCACAATAAAATTCACCCTTTTAAAGTGGTTTTTCGTATATTCACAAGGATGTGTGACCATAACAATGATCTAATTCCAGAACATTATCATCACCCCAAAAAGAAACCCCTGACCTGGCAACCAGTAACCTACTGTCTCTATGGATTCGCCTATTTCAGGCATTTCATACAAATGGAATCATATAATGTGTTTTCTTATGTGCTGGCTTATTTTACTTAGCATTATGCTTTCAGGGCTTATCTATGTTGTAGCATGAATTAGTACTTCATTCTTTCTTATGGCCAAATAATATTTCACTGTCTAGATATACCACATTTTATTTATCCATTCATTAGTTGATGGATGTTTGGGTTGTTTCCGCTTAATTTTAAATAGCCACAGGGACTAGTGGTTTCGATAGCACAGAGAGGTCAGAACCTGCCAGGGTGGGCTTTGTAAGTGACTTTGCTCAGATGTGTTCTCCCACCCCATCCCAGAGTGGTGGAGGGGGACTGGGATGCTCCTGAACTCCAGAGGAGCAGCGACTTCAGAGTTCATTCCCCAAACGCTGCTCAGCACCTTCCTGCTAGCCTCAGGTCTGGACCGCCAGGGAGGCTTGGCTCTGGATACAGGAGAGAGGGGCCTTGGGGGAAGCCCAGAGTCCACACAAAACCACACAGCTGGCACAGCTGCATCCCCCAGGGAATGGGGAGTGGGGTTCGGAGCTCCCTTCCTTTCCTGGCCCACATCTCCAGCACCTGCCCACTCTGCCGCAGATCCAGGAGAGCGAGCACATCAAGGTGGAGAACAGCGAGAGCGGCAGCAAGCTCACCATCCTGGCCGCACGCCAGGAGCACTGTGGCTGCTACACACTGCTGGTGGAGAACAAGCTGGGCAGCAGGCAGGCTCAGGTCAACCTCACTGTGGTCGGTGAGTCTGAGGGTGGGTGGCCTGGAAGTCAGGGATAGGAAGGTAGGCAGCCCCCAGACAGCGTGGTGGACCACAGGATCCCATCTCCTGGGGGACCTACTCCTTCAGCACCCATTGTCTCTGCCCACAGCCTCCAATTTTCCTATTTTATTTCTCTCTTCTTGCTCTTATGCTGTTACTGTGCTTCATGCTCCCTGAGAACTTCAGCCCCTACACACACACACACACACACACACACACACACAGCGTTTTCCTTTTCCTGGGAATCCCCTTGCGGCTTCTCTTTCTTTCTACCCTTTGGAGACCCTGAGCTCCACGATGCCAGGCCCTCTCTTGCTAGCACCTGTAACCCCGCTCCTCCTCTGGTCCACCACCTAACCCCATCTGAGTCGCCTTGCAAATCTTCACCTTAAATCAATGCTTCTTTCCGAATTCGCTGCTCCTACCCCTGATTTGGGGGTGCATTTCAGGAAGATCACATCAACCCTCAGACTTAATCTGGACTCTGCCAAAGTCAAGACTTGGCCAGGGTATCAGTGCTGGTCATTGCCCTCTCCCCCTCTCTGTGATAGCATATGACCCTGCAGACTTTGGCCTCTAGCTATTCTCTGAGAATTAGGAGGCATCAGGCATGACCTTGCTCAATGTCATGGCCTCACACCTACAGGCATCTCTAGGTCTGTTCTCAGGATGACTCCAGGCTCTGGGTATAGCCCACCTTTCTCTCCCTGAGGCTACTTCTTTCTCCTGCACTCCGGATCCAAGGCTCTTGGGGGCTCCACCACTCTCCTTCTCTCTTTTCTCCAGCTCCTCTGCTTCTCCCATAAATACTGCCAGAGCTCTCCCATCTTAGCCAAACATACCGGCGTGCATAACTCCTGCAACATCTTGTCTTCCTCTAGCCATCCTACCATCTTTCTCCTGTTCTCTCTCCACAGCCAAACCCTCTGAAGGGGGATGCTCTCTGCTCTGATTTTGCTTTCTCGCTTTCTCTTCAGCTCCCTGCAGCCTCCCCTCCACACCCCAGTAGCCTTCTGGGACTACCTTTCTGAGGTCACCATGACCTCCTAATCCTCAACCCACTCCTTTGTCCTTATCTCCTACATCCCAGCATTGAGTTGAGTCTGTCTCCAGGCTAATTCTCAAGTTCACTTTTTCTTCTCCATCCCAGTCACTGTGTTGTTTATGCCATTGTCAACTCTTTCCTAAAATATCCAGCTTTCTCACTGGTCTCCCACTGTCAGTCATGCTCAGCTCTTTGCCTACCACCCCACCACCCCACCACCACCACCACCCATGTGGCAGGTGCTCAGGACAGAAAAGGAACAGCAGATGACAGAGAAGACTGATGAATAATAGGCCACATCCTTGTGCATTTGTGGGCCTTCAACCATTGTACATGCGAAAGCCTTTGGTGGTTATTGATCTGATCTTTGTTTTGTTTCCTTAGGTCATGCATTTTAAGTCTGGGAAGTCAATGTATCAAAGCATCAGGGAATAGATTTCTCATCTATAAAAGACAGAAGGGACCCCTTTATCACTCTTTCTCTCCTTAGTGACTCTGGTTGCTTATTTTAATAGTTTCCCCCGTGGAGTCAGGAACATTTGGGGGGTTGAAGGATTAGTACTAGTGATCTCGTCTGCTTTTACATTTAGACCTGGCCCCCACCCTCACCCATCAGCAAAGATTGGTTTCCAATTTTCCTTGGTGTTCTCTCTCATCTGCCCCTGCCTGGGGAACTTTGAGGTCAGTTCCTTCGAACTGCTTTTCCGTGACCAGTGCCCCCTGCCCCCACTCGGGCTGGCTCCACTTGGTGCCACACACTCCCCTCCCCCATCACAACGGCACAAGCTGCAGTTCTGGCCTTTTATGGTGTAGTTTCTTATTCTCTTTGGCCAGTACTGACAGGGCCATTGGCGTGGCTGCCTGCCAGCTGGCAGGAGCAGCATGTTAAATGCCGTCCTGGGAGGGGAATGGAATGGAGGGGAACGGGCTTTCTGTCTGCCTCCCCCTCATTGAGCTAAGAATAGAATTGCTCAATAAAATGAGGACTTGCATTGATGGAAACAGCAAAGCCACATTCATTCAGAGCCCGTGGATTTAGAATCAGTCCGAAGTAAACCTGGATTAAGCCCAGATTTACCTGTGCGTGTCTCTAAGGACATCTGTATGTTATCTGATCAGGGTTGATTAACTAGATGTAAAATGCAAATGAGATTAAACAGGAATTGTTTGACCTGGATGGTTTTCAAGCACTTTGGAAGCATCCATTTACTGGCCAGCTAAATAAGGCCGATTTAACACTACTTATTAGCAGTAAACTTTTCTTATGTGTTCTTTAAAGTACCACTTTCTCTTCAGATAGTCTGACTCCTATTTTTAAGTGATAATAAAAACCTGCCATTCCCTCAATTAATTTAAATAAGTGGTGTTTCACCGTTTTAAATGCTTATGATTATTATATGTTAAGGCAGTGCAGGAATTTGTGATGCTCAGGCGGCCTCTGCCTGCACCTCTGTCCACGGCCTCAGAGGGGTGTGGTGGCTGCTCAGGCAGGAGAGAGCGGTCAAGTACCAGATAAAGTCCTTCCTATAACCTGTCCAGCATGAGAAAAACAGGTCACTGCCTATCTTTAAAGGAGAAAAACAAATTAGAAAGGACCCAAAATACTCAAATACTATTTGAGCCTGGGACTCGCAAGATATTTAAGGGCAGAAGATTTCCCTTCATAATGCTTGGCTCGGGTTTAAGCAAGATGCGTTCTTGATCTTATTCCACCTGATAGCCTGGAAAATAACAGGCTCCTGGAACAAGAATCTGAAGGTTGTTTGGAGTCTCCTTTTGGCTCTGTCACTGGCTAGCTCAGTGTTCTTTGTAAGCAAAGTACCTTACTTAGCCTCTGAGGGCCTGGATTATCCAGCAAGACAACCCTAGGAGCCCTTGTAGTCCCCTGCCATTCTATAAAAGATGCAGGTGGCTGCTTAGGTGCCAGTGAAGAGAGGTCTGTGCAGGGTTAGGCACAGCCACAGATCAACTTCAAACACACAGGCATGCTGAGACTGCCAGGGAGGTTACTCTGACAATCATTAGCCATGAGGGTCTCCATTTTCTCAGGAGTATGAACAATCGCTGAACAGAAAATCCTGGAGCTGGTGCCATTGGACACCCTTGTCTTGGACTCAGCACTTCCCATTCCATTAGTCAGGTCTCCCGGGAGCCATGGGAGAATTCTCAGGAAGCGTGGAGCTCGGGGCCCTAGACACTGAGCCCACTTCCCTTTTACCAGGCCATGCCCCAGGTCTCCCTCCCAGATCGAGTTCAGCTGTGTCTTCAGCATGAGTGGCAGGCTCACAGGCACTCTGTTCTGAGCATTTTCATCCCTGGCTAGTTCCACCTCTGTATGGGGCTCTGCAGGTTGGAAAGAACACAAAGCATCAGACACAGCCCATGGTCCTGAGGACAGGTGTAAGTGGAGGTACTTACCAGTCTCTTACCAGTTCAGACTTGCGTCTTTTCTGAACTCCTTAATTCAAATTCATTGAAAGCATTGAAATTTCACTTGTAATTAAAGCCCCGCTCTCCAAATTTTGCATCTTCTCTTGTACCGCAGTGGGTAACGTGTCATATGTCAGTTCTCCCTCTTTCAGCCAAGAGACATCTGGAACAGGGTAGGGTACAAATAGTAACTCTTCTGCAATACCCATTTCTCAAAGTTTTATTTTCTTGAGCAAAGCAGAAGTGGAGTGTACTGCATTAATTATGTAAATCCACATAACTCTAAATGCGTCCAGTCAGATGTTTTCCAGGCATTTTTCTGCAGGGGAAGTAATGAGTCTGTCTTTCATACCTCTTTAGGCTTTTTTACTTCCTGAGCTGGGTCTTTAGAGGAGTTGTACCACTTGCCTCTAAGAGAGTTTAGAGTAATAAACATCTTAGCCAATGCCAGAAATATTTCTCAAAAGACCAATGTATCTTTCAGAACAAACAGTTTTCCTAAGAGAACATATTAAACAATCAGTGAAAGTGGTTCCATCACAGGAGGCCTCCAGAGTGACTGTAGAAAGTGGCTCTGTCACAACCCCAGAATCACTCTGGGTGAGGTCCAGGCTTGGGGTGCAGGAGAAGGGTGGTTTCTGGGCAGTGTGCTCTTGGTAGGAATGTAGAAGCAGCAGGGCTTGGAGGGAGAGAATGAATATGTATACATAATGTACGTATATGTTTATACACACACACACACACACACACACACAGAGGCAGAAAGTTTATTTCTTCCCCATATGCACAGGGTCATTTGCAGAAACTCGCTTTGGCCTTTCTGCCTTGCTGGAAGTCAAGTAGTTACCTGGGTTTGTTTTCTTGATGCTTTGCAAAACCCTTGAAAGGTAGATACATATTAGCACCATTTTTCCAAATGAAAAGGACAAACGAATTAGTCTTGGCAGTTAAGGCATTCACTAGAGTTCACATAGCTTATAAATTCACGCAACATAAAAGCATGGTTTTAATTGCTAGTTGAGGGAGCTCTGTACCTCAAACTGCCTTGGTGGGGGGTGGTGAAGGGTTAGCGAACATCGATATCTGTAACAAAACCAACCACCTGCAGAAACTAAATCTGAAAAATAGAACGAGCAACTATCAAAATCAGCGAAACTCAAGAACCTCATTAAAGTATTGGCTGCCGTGATTTGCTTTGAAGTTGGCAGCATTACAGATTCTTAGCATTACTGGTCTGCATAGGAAGGCAGCCAGCCAAAGGGGCCACCTCATGGGTCCTCAGCTCATTTCCCTGCCCTTAGTCAGGGGTAGTGTGATTTGCTACTGTGGTTCGCTTTGAAATTCTTTACCACATTTTATACCAGTCCTGTGAGGATAAAAGAGGTAAGGTAGGAGTAATTTTTTGTATATTTTAAAGTCAGGAATAAATTCCTGCAATAATAATGACAGTAATGGTATCAAGTCAGCCACTTTTCTAAAAACTTCTCATAACCACCTTGGGATCTAAGTGCTATTATTATCCTCATTTTATAAATGAGGAAACTGAGACACAGTAACAGATAGTAAATGGAGTCAGAGCCGTGTTCAAACCTGGATCTTTCTGACTTCAGAGCTCACTGTACTGTACTGCCTCTCGGGGGAGCAGGCGTTTCCCAAGTCCCAGAGAAAGTGGAGTCTGACCCCTAGTTACATGACAGGTCACTGGTGCAGGGGCTGAAGGACATACACACACACACAGAACTCTCTCTCAAAACACATTTCTGATGGGAAGCAGTCCACGCCTTCTGGGCAGCTTCCTAGATCTGTTTACTCTAAGAAATATGTTTATGACTTAGGCAAAGTACAGGAAATCATGACTTGCAGACTGGAAAACTAGCCAAAGAAAGAGTTTTCTCTGAGCAAATAGGCATTCGTGGGGCTTTCCGTATAGGTGGGTTTGTGCATACGTGTGTGACTGTAGAAGAGGGAACCAGAGCCGGGACCGGGGATGCCAGCTTGGGTTTTCTAGGCTTCACCCCAACAACAGAGCTAATTCAAAAACTTTCTTTCCCTGCAATTCTGAAGAGTTGAGTGATACTGTGCTTCTCTATCCCCAGACAAGCCAGACCCCCCAGCCGGCACGCCTTGTGCCTCTGATATCCGGAGCTCCTCACTCACCCTGTCCTGGTACGGCTCCTCGTATGATGGGGGCAGCGCCGTACAATCCTACAGCGTCGAGATCTGGGACTCAGTGGACAAGATGTGGAAGGAACTAGCCACATGCCGCAGCACCTCATTTAACGTCCAGGACCTGCTGCCTGACCGAGAGTATAAATTCCGTGTGTGTGCGATCAATGTGTACGGAACCAGTGAGCCGAGCCAGGAGTCTGAACTCACAGCGGTGGGAGAGAAACCTGAAGGTAAGCTGCCTTCGCTGCATCACTGGCTTGAAGTAAATGTGCATGACTTACCTTATGTAGGTAGAAACCCGTACTGAGAAGGGTACAGAGGAACTGGGATGTCATCGATGATGACTGGCAGCATCTTTTGGAATCTTGATTTCCCAGGTAGTGGTGTTGATCCATACTTTAAAAGTACATATGACCTTTCAAAAAACATTGAACCAATAATTTTGGTACACTGCCACCAGGGGGTGACAGTGTGCTAATCGGGAACAGAGCCCTGGCAGGAAGAAGCTCAGACCTAAAAGTTTCAATGTCCCTCCTCCGTCCTCCACCCTCCTCCCTCCTTCTCTTGCACTCAAATGTGAGCGTCTACTCAGTGTCAGGTTCTTGGAACACAAATACAGATGAGACAAGGAGCTTAAAATTTAAGGAGACAGCTGTATAGCTAGCTAGCTATAATGAGACAAGCTACATCCCATTCTAGCAGTATAAACAATCTGCAAAGGAGACACAGCAGGAAGCCTGAGTCATTTTGCCATAGAGGTTGAGGAAGGCTGCCTAGAGGAGGTGACACTTACCCTGAGTCTTGGGAAATGAATGGGCTTCCATGAGGCAGGGAAGATGAGGAGAGGCATTCCTCACAGAGGAAACAGCGTGAGCAAAGGTACAGAGTGATGGAAATGCATGGCTTTTTGAGAAGCTTGTGTGTGGCCAGGGCAGATGCTGTGTGAGACAGAACAGGAGGAAGCAACGCTGAAAGGGCAGTTTAGGTAAAATTGTGAAGTTCATCAAAGATCTTCAGGCAGGGGGTTGATGTGATTAGATCTTTTTTTTTTTAATGCAACCTAATATTTATTTGAAGTGCCATACAGACTCTAGCCATAGACAGACCCACGTGTTCCTAAGACTTAAGACTTTTGAAATATCACCTTTTTTTGGATTAGATGTTTTTTAAAATTATTCTTATGTAAGTTTCAGGTGTACAGCATTATAATTCAACATCTGTATGTGCTACAAAATGATCACGACCACAAGTCTAGTTTTTTAGAAAGTGAATTAGAGGAAGAGTAGAACTTTGCTCCCCTAAGTATGGTCTGGATCAGAAGTCTTGGGATCCTGGGAGTTAGAAACACAGACTCTCAGCCCCCGCCCCAAATGCCCCTACTCCCTTCTGAACCTTCATTTTAACATCATCCACCCCACCTCTCCCTACGCCCACCCCACACAGATTTGTATGTGTATGAAAGTTCGAGGAGCCCTAGAGTGGAGGAGGGGAATGAGGTTGGAGTCAGTGAGACACCAGCCTCTGCAATATAGTCCAGGAGAGGGACGGTAAGTAAGGGCATAAACTAAAGCCTCAAGAGGTATCTGCTGCCCTTTGACACTCCCCTTTGAAATGAGCAGAGTAGGGAGCAGGAACGTTAGAGTGGGGGTACCAGGAGAGGAAACCAAGGTCCAGTCTGCTTGTTTTTAGCAGATTACTTTCAAGAAGAAGACTTCCCACCTGTTGGAAAAGTGACAGGAAAAGAGAACATGTTGCAGTCAGGTGTTCATTAGCTGGAATAGAAAGCTTCCAGGTCCTTTATGGTGTAAACCAGGAAGCTGTAGAGTCTGATGGACCCCATGCAGAGGACGGAGGCCACTGGAGCCGTAAGGTGTGGCTCCCAGGAGGCCAAAGTTCCAAGCAGGTGTCCTCTCCCTTCTTTCCTGTGACCTGTAGGTTCCAAGCAGGTGTCCTCTCCCTTCTTTCCTGTGACCAGCTGAACCCCCTCTGTGGTCCCCAAACTGCTCCTGGAACCCCTCCTAGCTGGGAGCAGACAAAAGGAAATATTGAGGAGGGGTCCAGGCCATCCAGGGCTTCCAGGCTGGAAGCTGCCCCCAACCCAGGGATTATCCCAGGAAGAAGAGGGGGAGAGGCAGAACAGTTGGCCAACTTTAGGCCTGAGAGTCAGAAGATGGAGGGGCAGTGAAAGGGTGGGGGTAGGGGTTGAAGGTTCCAAGCGAATCCTTCTGTGGACTGCCCAGATGCTTTTTGGTTATAACTTGGGCAGGTCATCTCTCTCTGCCTGGAAAGGGAAACGGCTCTCAAAGGAGTGAGGTGTGCATGTGCACGTGTGTGCACGTGTAGGGCTGGGATGGCCTAAGTGGTTATGACAGGTCATTCCTGTGGAGCCCAGTGGGATAGAGTGGTCATCAAAGAGGCAGTGCCAGTGAACCTCCACTGAAGCCCAGCTACTGTTAACTGTCACCTTCCCCGCTGCCACCACTGCCCCTCCTGCCTCTTTCTGCTTTTGCGACATTAGTGTTGTTTAATCCTGACCTCTCACCCCTGTTGGCACCTTTTGCCAGAGCTACCCCTCTGACTAGGACCCCTAACTCAGCAGTTCCCTTCCCTGTCTTCCCCAAACTGAGTAAACAGAGCCCCTGCCTCAACACAAGTGCCCTCTCTCATCCCAGGCAGGTCTGGATCACTGCTCCTGCCCTACTCAGCCCTAACTCTTAAACCCACTCTGCCCTTGCTCCTGATCCTAATTTGTTCTAGTGTGTAATAGTTGTTAATGAACAGCTGTGATAAAGGCTTCTTGCAGAGTTGGAACTTCCTTGCAACCCAAGGGCAGTTAGAGCAGAGCCCAAAAGGCCAAAGGGCGGGAGATGAGCCGCTCACCCTGCCCTAGGCTACAGCTGAGCAGGCCCGCAGAGGCCCTCTCTGGTGCTGGATGCCCTCTAGTGCCCGATGGGGATAAAACAGCCTTCGGCCTCAAAGTGACAGCTCTTTGTCCCAGGCTGACTAGAAAGGTATGCAGTGTGAGGGTCTTGAAAGCTCAGTCCAGGGCAATGAGACTCATCTTTCTGCATAAATATCTCAGAACCATCGTCCAAATAGTTCTTCCACTTAACTCTTGGATCTCATAGCTCTTTCTGAATAGAAGATTTTTTTTTTAATGTTTTGTTGAAGTCCCTCCTACTGCAATTTAGCTCCTTCCTCAGTGGAGAGATGGAAACACAGCGATTACCTCTCTCATTACTACAGCCCTTTACGCTCGAAGAGCTTGGCTAATTGAACTGTGGTCTTTCCCCAACTCTTCCTTTGCTCCTCCCCAAATAGAATGGAGGCAGGACGAGAAGAAAAAGAAGAAAGGGAACCGTCTCAGCCTGGAGCCTTGGCCTGAGCTTCACACAGACGAAAGGTTCCAGTGTACCAGTGAGCCAGAAAGAGGGGTGTGAATTCCCTGAGAATGATCTAGGTCCCCACGATCAGAGTATCAAGAAAGCATTCTGTGTCTTGATTGCCAAGGAGAGAGGCAGGAGGTGAGGGGCAGGTGCGGTGTTTGCGATGAGGGCAAGAAGGTTAGCTCTTTGGTTTCTAAGCGGTGAGTGAGGGAGAGGCCAGTTCTACAACTTCTGCTCTCTTCAGGGCGAACTGGGGAATGCCCCCTGGTGGCAGGTCACCCTCATGGCTCACAGCGCTGCCGCTACTCCACTAAGAAAGTACAGGTAGTTTCTCGTGAAGATGCCAGGCCAAAAAAGCCTGCCTTCTCTTTCTCGTCCTGCTGCTCATCCCACACCAGCAATCTGGCACAGGAACAAGAAGACAAGGGATGCCTCAGCAGGTCAAACACCTGTCTCAGATAGGGGCACCACAGGTCAGGAGCCTCCCTAACAATAAAATCTTATTATTATTATTATTGTTATTTTGTGTCTAAGGCCTAGTTCAGTGAGTGCCATTCACCAGTGCTAAATTAATGATTGATGAATTAATTTGAATCTCTTGCTTCCTTTAAAGCCCAGTTTGAAATACCACTGTTGAACTAACATCTGTTGAACCTATTTATTGTTCTCATGATACCTCTTGAGATATGAGTTCCATATGCCTACAGCCTTCCTCCTACGTGAGGCAACACTAAATTGTTCTCTTAAGTTACAGTATTCATTAGCTGATAAAAGTCCGTAACCCTAATATCACCCTTGGCAATTGTGATTTTCTTTTTATCTTGTCTGCTTTAGACTTCTTTCCCAACCAGAGAGGCCTAGCCTTTTCTGATCATCCTCTCATGGCAGCTCTTCCTTTCAGTGGCCCTGCATTCACCTCCTCTAGCTCCATCTTGACTTTCTAAGTCAACAGCTAGAGTTCCAGGAGCAGATGGCCCCAAGCTCTACCACGAGCAGAGTGATACCACCTGTTTGTGGCCAGTGCACATTTACCCCATGACGGCATGCTGTTGGCTAGAGCAGTGGGTTGAGGAACTGGGCTCCCATGCTTGGCTTCTGACTAGATACATGAAGGGCTGAATGATTAAATTCTCCCTGAACACATGACTCCTCCATTCCTGCCTCTCAGGTACATTCTGGTCATCTATGGATTTGACAATGTCACTCTCAATTCCAGATAGGTGATTTAGAAGACTTGATCAGTTAGGCTCATGTCCCGGCAATATCTATGAAACCCCTCCACGAATCTGAGAGTCCTGTCTATCTGATCCTTTTTAATTTTTCCATAGCATTTTCCTTTCTGTGACAAAATATTCCTCCCACTCATGTTTAGTTTTCTAAACTAAGCATCAATGGCATTTTAAGAATTCTAAACAAATCACAGCCTTTCTTGCTCCTGATCAAATGCTTATAAACTCCTTCAAAACTCTGTTCAGCCAGGGGTACTTACCTTGTATAAGGAACTGTGTTACTTTTTCTCAGATTGCTTGCTTGGGTTTTAGTAGTTCGTTCTGCCCTCGGCCTAAGAGAGAAGCTCACTGTCTGTAGTTCCCAGATGCACCTTCTCCATCACAGACATGCAGCTTGCAAAGCTCCGCACACCCACACACAACCTCTCCTGACTTGGCAGTGTCCGGTAATCCTTCCACCCTGTCCATTCTGTCTTCCTCCTAGGAGATCATCCCTGTGCTGTTCCCTTCCTTTCTTCAGTCCTATTCTGCTGGGAGCTTCAGCAAATCACATCCTTTTCCCCAAGGCTTGTTTACACACACACACACACACACACACACACACACACGCACACATGCACACACGCACACATTTACACCTTTTAACTCCTTGTACTCCCTCTCTAACTTCTCTTTGTCTGTCTCCTCGGCAAACCTCCCTCGGTTCCATCTGTCAGCCAGAACACAGCCCACATCACGGCTGAGGGGCACAAAGCACATTACAAAGCATGGCATCGGGTGCTAGCCAGGGACCCCAGAAATTACCTAGAAATACAACTCTTTCCTTTTACAGATGAAGAAACAGCAGGAGGTCCAGAAAGGGAAAGGCACTTAGCCAAGATCAAGAAGCCAAAGTGGCCCTACAGGGACAAACTTATGCCAAGGCAAAGGAAAGCCTGGAGTTTTGATGTGGCTGTGTTGTGCCACACACATACTTGTGTCCACACACACACAACACACACACACACACACACACACACACTCACACCTGACACATCCATGTTGCAACCAGCATGGGCTGCTTATGTCCCTCTTCACCATACCTCACAAACACCTTTTGGTTGCATTGTGACATCACCCACCTCAATTTGTGTTCCTCATTTCCTTTAAGTCACAACTCGGGACCTACTTCTTCTGAGAATAATTGCTCTAACTTTATAATTTCCCAATTTTGTGTCACCTTCCTGCACTGTGTACTGCGATATCGTGTGTTTGATTATATAACACTTATCATGGGTATTTCAAGTATATGTGTTTTTGCCTCTCCAACTACGTTATAAGCTCAAAGAAAGAAGGAGATTATGCCTTTGTGTATTTTGTTTTGTATACCCACAATAACTGGCCAGATACTCGGCACATAACTAGAATTCTGTAAAAAATGTTCAGTAAATGGATAAGTAGATTTGACACTAGTAGCAATCATAAGTTGCTGACTTTCAAGCCAGAGCAGAAAGGGACTGCCATAGTTGTGTGTAGGTTCTGAAAGTCAGAGGAACTAGAAGAGATATGAAGAAGGGTAGGTCTAGGGCAACTGTCCCTAACCTTTTTGGCACCAGGGACCAGTGCTCCTATGAGAGTCTAATGCCTGATGATCTGAGGTGGAGCTGGGGAAGTGATACTAGCGCTGGGGAGCGGCTGCAAATACAGAGGAAGCTTTGCTCACTTGCCTGCCGCTCACCTCTTGCTGTGCAGCCTGGTTGCTAACAGGCCACAGACCAGTACTGGTCTGCGGCCCAGATGTTGGGGACCCCTGGCCTAGGGGATCACAGTGTTAGAGAGGAAGGAATAGAGATTGGAGCTGGTAGAAGTGGGACTGGGTGGGGTGAGGATGCCAGTATTTGCCAGTGTGCACATGACCCTGTTGTAATGTGGACTGACCAACCCCATGGTGATGCCCAGACCTCTGGGGTTGGTGGTCTTGTACCTGATAAGGCTGAGTTTTGCTCTCAATGGTCCTTCAGTACTAATCACCTGTGTCCTCTCTGGCCCTCCTTATCTCCCCCAGAGCCGAAGGATGAAGTGGAGGTATCAGATGATGGTGAGTGCTGGCCACCTGTCCTCAGGAGGGCTCGAGGGGTGGAGGGGGGTGAGCGAGGGATCTGATGGCTCACACCCACCCCGACCCCCACCCTGCAGATGAAAAGGAGCCCGAGGTCGATTACCGAACGGTGACAGTCAATACCGAACAAAAGGTGTCTGACTTCTACGACATCGAAGAGAGACTAGGATCGTAAGTGGAGTGGGAAGCACCCTTCGGGCCCCCAGTGTGAGGGTGGTGTAGGTCCTATGGTTGAATTCCATGCCTCATCTTCTTGTCTTTTCCTGGGTTCTGTCAACCCTCCAGACTGAGATTCCTGCAAAATCAGGAGGGATTGACTCTGTCAGCACCCCACAAAAGCATCACCTACCCAGGGCTCATGTAGGAGCTGTTCGTGTGGTTTTGTGCTGGCCCAGCTCTGTGAAAGGCTTGGGCACGTGCTTCCTGTGCCTTAGTTCTCTACACAGGACTAAACCTAGGGCACTGAATCTGGATTAGACTGTCTTTAGGATACTTCTTTTGATGCACAGAAGGCAGTCAAGCCTGATCAGTGCTCACTGTTCAGCAATTCTAGCTTTAGTGCTTCAGTAAAGCACCCACTCTTGAATTGCACAACTGGCCATCACTGCTCACTTTATGAACAGTACACACTTTCCTCTGGATCCTCCCTGGGGTATGGACCCCAACCCTGAGCCCTCATCATAGCCAGGCTGTCCCTCCAGCAGCAGCACCCCAGCTTGCCTGTCTCCCACTAACGCTCTATCCCTGGAGGAGTATGGCAGGCGGAAGAACAAAGAATGGGGCTCAGCTTTTATTCCCAGTGAGGGACACCAACTTCCTAACAGTCTGTGCCAAGAGTCTGCTCCATCAGTGGGAGCTGTGTCAAGAGGACCACTACAACCCCGCGTGCCCACAGTGGGAAGCAGGGGCCCTCCTGGGCTGTCTCCAGGGGACAGTGCTTTAGAGTGGCGAAGAAGGAAGGTGGCATTCAGACATTCTCTGTGTTTGGGGAGGACTTTCTCAACCCAACCTCATGGGTCCCTCTGCAGGGAAGGGGAGGGAAGTCTATCAGCCATACTTGAGGCCTCACTAAGTAGGTGACAGTCCTGAAACTGGGTGGGGATGCAGGGACAGGCACAGGCTAAGGCTGATATGTGATGGGGAGAGAATAGGTTTACACTATTAAAAATGCACTTCATTGATTTTGAGCAGGGGCTGGCAAACGTTTTCTGTAAGAAGCCAAATAATGGATATTTTAGGTTTTGTGGGCCATACAGTCTATGTTGCAACTACTGCTCTGCACAGTCAAGCACAAAAGCAGCCATAGACAATATGCACACAAATGGGCATGGCTGTGTTCCAATAAAACTTTATTTATAAAGACAGGCAGGCCAGATTTGTCCCATAGGCCATTGTTTGCCAACCCCCATTTATTGGAAAGCTTGGCTAAATTTGCCTTTTCTCTCTCTCTTGCTCTCTCTCTCTCTCTCTTTTTTTTTTTTTTTAATTTTACAGTGGGAAATTTGGACAGGTTTTTCGACTTGTAGAAAAGAAAACTGGAAAAATCTGGGCAGGTAAATTCTTCAAGGCGTATTCTGCAAAAGAGAAAGAGAATATCCGGCAGGAGATCAGCATCATGAACTGTCTTCACCACCCCAAGCTGGTCCAGTGTGTGGATGCCTTCGAAGATAAGGCCAATATCGTCATGGTCCTAGAGATGTGAGTGGCCTGCTGCCCTGTAACATAAGAACTGTGGGCCTCAGCCTCCTTGTGTGTCTCTCCCCTGTCCTACCCTAGCCTCTCGCTGCAGTCAGGGAGGTGACATGCAAGACACTCACCAGCCCACATGACCAGGTGCTGACCACTCAGAACAGGTTTGTGCACATAACTGGACCTGACCCACTGACCTCCAGCCCGCTGCAGCCGCCTGCTCATTTCTATAACAAACAGGCAGATCTTTGAGGACCTCTGTCCCCTTTCCACCCGCACCTCCCTGTGAAAGGGCCAATCCTAGTCCTAGGCTCCTTGGCTTCAGTCAGGGGCATTCTGACCTAAAGGTACCTTTAGAATAGAAGGCAAGGAACATAGCAACTTCCTGACTAGCTTGCGAAAGAGAAGGGGGTCCAGGGCTGGGAGCTAAAAGTACAGGAATGTAACCTTTGCTCCTGCCCTCTTGCTGTGCTCTGTATGCCCTGTCATGCTTGTTTGTAGTCTCTTGACTTTTCACTCACCAAAGAATAGTGCTTTCTGTGTTGGGTTGTACGTAGACAGAAAGGTGGATCAGATGACCCGCAGCCAAGGGTTCCCTTTTCTACTGTTTCCTCTAGTCACATTCCTCCACTTCTCTTACCTCTGAACTGCTGGCGTGCACACACACACACACACACACACACACACACACACACGCTCATGCACATGGACACACATACAAATGCACATAATGGTGTCAGTAAGCCAGATGCCCACCACAGTGTCTGTATTTTTTAAGTTTCTTTCCTTTACTTATCTGAATTTTTTAAATATATGATATTATCACATCAAAAAAAAAATATGCAATGAAAATCTCATTCCTACCCCTGTCCCCCATCTACCCTGTTTCTGCCCCACCCCCAGCACCACTGGGAACCAATTTTATTGATTTTGTCCGCATCTTTCTAAAGCATATTTATGAAAATACAAGCATACATGATACATATATTCATAGTTTCCTCCCTTTTAACAAGAAGTTCACTGATACAATTCTACACATTGCTTCTTTTTGTTCCACAGTTTTTCTGGGACACAGTCACGAATCAGTAGCTAATGAGACTCCTCATTCTCCCTGTTCCATGGGACACCATTGTGGACATACACCACATACTCAAGCAATCTTCTTTTGATAGGAGGTTGGATGGTTTCCAGGCTTTCGCTTTTACAAACAAGCACTGTAACCTTGTCCATACATCTTTTCATTCATGCCTGTGTACATCTGTAGGATGTGCACAGAAGTGTGGGAGTGTTAGATCAGAGGGTATGTGCATTTGAAATTTGGAGAGATATTGTGCAGTTGCTTGCAGCATCCTTGAATTGCTCCTCCCCAGCTTCAGGGATTCAGCCCTTTGGCAAGGATGCTATCTGCATCTTGGTGTTCTTTCCCAGGCAAGGGGAGGACAGTGAAGCGCCCCCAAGCTTGAAGTGTGAACCTCTCCCCTCACTGTGAAAACATTTTGATGTGTTCCTTTGAGTTTATGTTCTGTAGGAAAGGCAGTAGAGGTTAATGGCACAGACTTGAGTCTGATAAACATCACCTCAGTCCCAACTCTGCCACTTACTTGTTGTGCAACCTTGAATAAGTTACTCAACTATGCCAACCCTTCATTTTATTATCTGTAAAAGGATATAAACTGTCTCATGAATAATGTGGGGATTAAATGGAGTAACGTATGACAGGCGCAGTGCTCTGTAATTGAGAGTTATTCTTAGTAGTATGATGCATTGACTTTTTCTGTACCCTGATCTTTTTTCCCACTCCAGATTATTTTGTGAGCATTTTAACACCCAACTAGGTATTGTGGAACAAATCCTACTACTCAGGTTCTATTACTTGTGAGAGGTGATTTTGTAATTATTAAATCCTTCCAGTGAAGAGACGTATTTGCATTAGACTCCCTTTTGTTCCTAAAACTAAAATTCTGTGGAACTGGAAAAGTTTCAAAGAAAATCCTCATTCATACCTTAGACTGTTTTCAGCCCCAAACTCAAACTTACCTCCCCACTGCCAGGAGACATTTGGCCGTGTCTGTGGCCTCGCTTGTTACACCCTCACAGTAGTCCTGTGAGCTGCAGCTTTTCCCATTTATCCTAGAACAGGTTGCTTGGTCCAGGCAGTGTGGGCATGTGGGGATATGTGAAGATGTCTTATCTTTAGAAGTTAAACCTTAAGCGAGTTCATGAGGGAGTGTATGGAGGGGGCAGAAGGCAGCCCAGCCTGGGTAAGGCCAGGCAGCATGACCAGTGGGCAGAATACCATACTTAGCTTGGAACTGAGAGTTGGCAAGCTAGACGGAAAATGTTGGGAGAAAACATAAGAAGGCTTCAGCTGGTCTGGCTTTCATCCCTCTATCCCCATGCTTCCCCCAAGGACAGGGGCAAGTCTGCACAGATGCCAGAGGATTTGCCTGCTCTTGGATAAGGAGCTTCCCCCCTGATAGGAACTCAGCCAGAGAAGATTCATACTTGATCTGTAGTTCCCTTTCAGCTTAGATGGACTTGGCAACTGAGAGCGCAAAGATTGGCATTCGACAGTACAGTTCGCTATTCTCCTTACTTGATGGAGAATCTGGGATTAAGAGAACAATGCCTGGTGATATAGAAAAATGAAAATATATTCCAGAGTCTCTGCCTCCAGTTCAGCTGCTTCAGATACAGTGAGAAATCAAATTAATGTGTCGTCCGCCTTTCTGACCTCTGATCACAGGACAAGCCCACATCACTATAGCAGCATTGCTCTGAGACCAGGGTTCTCCCAGGCTTCTGGCCTGGAGTCTGGGCGTGTCCTTTGGAAGTGCTTACTACATTCCAAGCGGTGCTGAGATCCTACAAGCTAGAGCAGGTGTGCAGTATAGGCTGAGTCATCCATGGCCCATCTCACCTTCGTACTACAATTGGCAAAATTTACCAAAGAACATCCATCTGGCCGCTATGAGACAAGGAGTTAGAGAATCTGGTATTGAGTTCCCTGAAGGGGAAATAAATTTGATCCTTTGGATTAGGTAGCCTTGGTAGTAGATATTCATTTACTCACTCACTCACTCACTGTTAATTTATCAAGCACACATTTCCTCTGGCCCAGTCTTGGCCCTTGGCCTTATCCCATCTCTGTGGGTGGTGGCTCTTTCCAGCCAATAATTATCACCCATAGTCTTGAGCATTTTGAATAGAAACCTGTAGTACCATTAATCCTGTTTTTGTAACCCCGTTCATCCTAGAAAATGGAACACAGGAACGGTTTCAAAATATATTAAATATATTTGAATAGGTTTGAACCTATTTGAACATATATTAAACAGATTACCTCTAGAAATGCAGCAATAATTATCTCCATGGCTCCAATTTCTACTACTCATTCCTCAGACATTCCCAAGGGCACTGCAAATGATAGTTACTTGCTTATTTCAGAATATTTTAAATTTAAAAGCAAACATTTTGCTGTACCTTATCCGTGCCAGGTATGGCCAGGTGTAAATAAGGGTCTAGAGATGTGCCAGACCTTTTCCAGACATGTTTACAAACAACTTTAAGGCAAGTCAGACTTGATACAAAAAGTGCAGAGACAAGGCTGTGGAAACCCAGGGAAAGACCATTCATTTCGTACGGGAAAATCAGGAGTGATTTCCCAGAGGACATGCATTTCATCTGGCCTCCCAGGAGTGGTAATTGAGTATGCCAGTATTTCCCAAACTTACCTGCTCATAAAAACGACTTGGGGTACTTATTAAAAATATGAATCCTCAGATACTTCCCAATATTTTCTAAATCAAAACCTCCAGGAGCGAAGCATGGAAGTCTGTATTTTCAACAAAAGCCCTGACTGGTTCTTTTAAAAAAAAAAAAAAAAAAAAAGATAATTAACATTATTGAATACTTATTTTGTGCCAAGCACTCTTCTAAACACTTTAGGTATATTAACTTACTCAGTCTTCACAGTAACCCTGTGAGGTGATGCTGTTTTTATCTGCATCTTACAGGTAAGGAAACTGAGGCACAGATGTTAAGAATCCCCTGTAACCTAGGAAAGGGGATTAGATTGACATGGAGCCTGGGTAAGGTTTGAGAAGAGGGGCGCCACCTGCTGGCCGCCCAAAGATCTTCTCAGTTGGTTCTAAAGCATGGGTTCCAGCGCCCCCCAGCCGCTACTAGCTAAGGCTGACCTTTCCCAGTTCAGGCCTTTCAGAAGTGAAAATGTTTGTCATGTGTTGATGGGGGCTGACAGAGGCTGTAACGTGCTAGGCTTCATGGTGTGTCTCTGTCTGTCCCTCAAGGGTCAATAACAAGATCCACTTGGCCCACTTCAGGTTGTCAAATGATAATATGTACTGAACACCTACTTTGTTGAGGCATGACGTTTTACAGAATTTCCTTTATTCCTAACAGCTCTATGAGGTAGGGACAGATAAGGAAACTGGAGCTCAGAAAGGTTAAGAAATTTCCCAGGGTCACAAAGCTTGTAAAAGGTAGTGACAAGATTCAAACTCAGCTGTTTCCCTTCTTATGATGACTCCCCTTAGAAGAGGAAGGCCCCTGGAAGAAGACTGACCCAAAATGAAGCCCACCCAGCCTTGTTCAGCCAATGGACCTACAGGCCATTGTAGAAAAGCGCTTACTGATGTCTGGATGCAGTGAGCAAGGAACGTGGGTTAGAGAGCTGGGACAAGGGAACAGAGAGGACCCATGAGACTCAGGCAGTGAGGCCGTCCATTTGCACTGAAGGGCTATAGCCTCTGGAGCAGTCCTTAGCAGGGGATGCTTGCCATGGGCCCCAGAAATAACATGGCCAGGATCCAAAGTCTATCCAGGCAGGAAGGATGTACTACATTTTCAGCCTGGACAAGGGAGCAGATGAGAAAAGTTAGTTATGGTTAGAAGGAGTAAACCAATACTATAGCCAGACGATCACAGCTATAAATCGATCACAGCTATAGTGGGTTACAGCCAACAAATTTGCTGAGGCTTATTATTGAAGATACTTTTCTGTTCCCATCAGTATTATTTTTAAGCTTTGATTCTGTATGACCAAAAATCACAGCTGGAGTACAAGAATGATCCCTTACACATCTACAGTCATTTGAGAAAAGAAGGCTGCCTGGCGGTCACCCTTTTGCTAAGGAGATCATGTCTGGATCTCTCAGTTCATGACCATCTCTAAAAATGCCCAGCCTAGATGCTTCCCTAAATCCCCAACAGCTTAGTGGGTGCCAGCAGAGTCCCCAGGCAGGAATTCAGGAGGCCCAGGCCCTCGCACAATGGAAGACCAAGACCAGCATAACAGGGCAGTGGCCTGAGACTCAGGAAACTGCAGAAAGTGCCCAGCACCCCCATATCCTGGGCTTTCTTCCCAGTCTCTCCGACCACCAGCCCACCATTAGCCAGACTCCCTGCCAGCCTGGGCTCTATAATCCTGTGGTCTGACCATTGCCCCATTCTGTTCCTATAGCGTGTCAGGGGGTGAGCTGTTCGAGCGCATCATCGACGAGGACTTTGAGCTGACAGAGCGAGAGTGCATCAAGTACATGAAGCAGATCTCGGAGGGGGTGGAATACATCCACAAGCAAGGCATCGTCCACCTGGACCTCAAGCCCGAGAACATCATGTGCGTCAACAAGACAGGCACCAGGATCAAGCTCATCGACTTCGGTCTGGCCAGAAGGCTGGGTAAGGCCAATCCACCTCTCCTTTTGTCACCAACATGTAGTGGCAACACCGATGGCTGTGTTTCACACACTGGATATTAGAGAGAATGCACAGTATTGGAGTTAAAATCAGAGCCCATGGAGATGGCTCAGGTTCACATCCTGCCCCTGCCACTTACTAGCTGTGTGACTCAGTCTCAAATTCCTTATCTATAAAATGGGATAATAGTAGTACCCACCTCACAGAGTTGTTAAGGGGACCAAATGAGTTAATGTAGGTAAAACAATAAGAGCAGTGCCTTGTGCATAGTAAGCACTATGTAGGTGTCAGCTATCTATATCTATCCATGTTTATTTATTGTCTGTCCTTCTTATGTTTTTTGGGCTGGTGCCTTCAGCAAATGGTGCTTCCTTACATTTGCATCACACCGTACAGTTTCCAGAGCACTTTCACATTCTTTCTCTCATCTGAGTCTCGCAGCAACCCTGTGAGGTAGGCAGGGCAGATTTTATGAGACCCAATTTATAAACCAGGAAACTGAGGTTCACAGTAGTTGTGCCCAGTGGGTCTCACCGCTTGTCAGGGGAGGTGCGAGGGCTGGAATAAGGACCCCAGACCCAGTTCAGCCTTCTGAAGCAGCTCTGCTATTCCTGCACTGGGGTGGGAGTATAATGATGAAAGGTGGTCAGGGCTTTTGTACTCAGCCCTGAGGTATTTTGGTGGGTGAGTGCTTCACACACTGCCTACACTCACCCTGCCTTTGTAGCTCTTTTGACATCTCAGGAATTGAAGAAACAGCTTCCCCCTGCACCTCCTGACCTTGACTCTGTCAACAAGGAGCCCGAGGGCTGGCACAAGCTGACCTTTCTTTTACTGCCCTGCTAAAAGCTAATGCCACCTGGTAAATCTCCTCCCAGAATGCTCACTCCTTGTTAAGGCCATGTGAGTCATAAAGAGGAAGGTGAGGGAGTGAGGTCCTCGCAGACTGTGACTTGCCTGGTGATGGGTGCCTAGATGCTAGGCAAATGTGCCTGCTCTGCCTTCACCTGCTGAAGGCACAGTGTGGGGGCCACAGCTGGTGTGCCTTTGGACAGGAACCACTAACAGTTTAAACAAATAGGGTGCCATTGACCTCGGGTGGATAAATCATTCCACTTCCCTGGGCCTCCCTGTCCTCCTCGGGAGCATGGGGGTCATACTTCCCTCTTAGAGTGTTGGGAATATTAAATAGAAAAGTCTTTGTGAAGCAAGCAGCAGGGTTCATAGGCCTTCCTGAAAGTTAGAGATTATTACCAAGCACAAGCCACAGCCTGGGCCTCAGGGCACTCATGAGAGAGACAGATACAGGAAAGAGCATTCAGGGGCAGGGGCTTTAACAGCCTCTCCTCCCCCGCCCCACCCTGCTGAAGACACTTGAGGTGAGTATGTGGTTTGTCCATTTCACTTTTTGTCAGGGTCACTGGTGTATTGATGCAGGGAGACAAGTGTCTCTGGACCATTCTCCAAGGAGAGAGCAGCTTAGAGCCAGTACTTTTCTGTGTCCCTCCTGGGTACACAGACGAGGGCATTTGCTTATGGGTCAGTTCCCGGGATGTTCTGGCGATTGATCCCTCTCTATTATGGTTACAGAGAATGCAGGGTCTCTGAAGGTCCTCTTTGGCACCCCGGAGTTTGTAGCACCTGAAGTGATCAACTACGAGCCCATTGGCTATGCCACGGACATGTGGAGCATCGGGGTCATCTGCTACATCCTGTGAGTCTTGGGGTACACAGGGGTGGGGTGGAGAGTCCTACAGGAGGGTCCCCAGGCCGCCCTGACGTTGAAGGGGCCAGGGTGGCTCATGATGGGGAGCCCGCCGCAGAGTTAGGAGGGTGGCATCTTAAGCCACAGCCTGTCCTCGTGCTCCCATGAGGTCAGCAGCCCACATCGCACTCTTATAGGAGCATCTAGCTCCACACACCAAGATCTGCATACTGAGCCCCTCACCATTCCCGATGCTGGCCAGCCTGGGGCCTTGGGTCAGGAGAGTGGGAATATGGCTGGTACCATATAATATACCTTCACTAGTATAGGTGGGTCTGTAGAGGAGGAAGAGAGACCAGGTGCACATCTCACCTGGGTGTCATCATTGTCTTCAGAGGACAGCACCCCATCCTCATTGCAGAGGGACCCCAACTGCCAGCCTCATCTCTGAGTCCAGTATATGGACCAATTAATAAGTACTTTTGATGATAGAGCCTTCAGCGAGGCCAGCAGACAACAGAAAGCCACACAGTAATTAGAACTGGGACATCTGGTGGAAAATATGAAGTCATTTCAGTTAATGCTGGAGAAAAAGAAGAAAGGCCAGTAACCTGGACCAGTGCTTCCCAAACAGTAATATGCATGCATCACCTAGGCCTCTCCTTAGATTTCAGGGTCTGATTCGGAAGACCTGGGGGACCTGAGAATCCACGTTTCTAAGAGGGTCCAGATTGCCAGTGGTGCCGGTCCAAGGACCAAACTCTGAATATCCAGCTCTAGAACACGTCCTCTTGATGGGATCGTGCTGGTTTAATCTCTGAAGCCCCAGACTACAGTCACTGGCTTCAGAGGCAGCCCCTGAACTTGTGTGGCAGCATACAGTTAAGGGATGGCCTCCAGAAGGTGCAGACATGCATGCATTCATTTTGAAAAAAGATTTTTTGTTATTGTTAAAGCAAAAGGAAAAATTAAGCATTTTCATAGAAAAATACCTTCTTAGACCCTTAGGGTCTTCAGACCCCAGTATAAGAAATGGCTCTAGATAATTCTGCTGTACAGCCAGGTTTGGGAACCACTGTTACAAAAGCTTTAGCAGAAGTGGAGCGATTTTGTGTGCAGTGTGGCTTTTTTACATATTCAGGAGTTTTACTCTCACTGTGGCCTCCCAGAGAGTCATCCTCTGCCTTGCCTGGTGTCACCCCTACCACAACAGCCTTCCTCAGAGCAGCAGAGAAGAAGGCCTCGACCCACG